CATCCCAAATGCAGTGGACCGTCAGAAACGGAACGCAGACAAGAATGGAAGAGCAAATGTTCTTTCATTTAAAGTTAACGACCTAGTACTACTGTCTACGGTAAACTTACCTGGACATGCAGTCACTAGTGTCGGAAGTAGTAAACTACTGCCGAAGTACATTGGGCCATTTCGAGTGTTGCATCACAAGGGCAATGCATACACACTTGAATTGCCACGTAAGATGCGCACGCATCCTACGTTTTACGTGGGGAGGCTCAGGCCGTACTGTCAGTACGAGCCTTCTTCTTCCGATGAAGATAGCCCCCACGTTCAAGAACATCCATCAAGTTCTTGCGTTCGCGCTCCAGACGATCCGTCTGGTCGCGCAGATATGATACCTCGGAACTCAACCAAGATATCTCCCCGCGAGCTGTCGCCAGCTCGCCGTAAAGGGAGCGGACATCCCGCTCGACCTGAAGCTGCGCTGTGGCATAATCGGCGCGATCTCTCGCCCGATTAGCCTCGCAGTCCTTGCGGTTCTTCCGCACGGTATCTGTCAAAATGTAGCGCCGGTCGCGCTCGTGCTTCAATTCATCGCGCAATTCATCGATTGCGCGATCCATCTCGAAAGGGTCGAGATGGTGAGCCGAATCATCTGGAGGAGGTCTTTCCTCCTCCACCACATCCTTTGGTGGATGCTCACGGTGGTCAACTCTTTCGAGTGGAGAAAATCTTTGATCACCGTGACGATTCAGGATTAAGGACGAGCTACCTCGTCCAGTGGCGGGGGTATCCACCCTCTTGGAACAGCTGGGAGCCCCGCTCTCAGCTGTTGATGGATGTTGAAGGCCTCGTCCGCCAGTATGACGAGACTAATCCGATTGGCCATGTGGCCCATCGGTAAACACGCGCCCTAGGCTCTTGTAGACGGATTGCAAGTTTGCAATCGCGTCCCGCATCTTACTCGAGATGTGTGCCCTTCCCCAGGGCGAACTTAGGGAATACACGTCCCTATGTGCACGCTGCGAGTTGTCAACACAACTCGCACAAGGGTCTCCCCATGTGAGGCAAGGAATGTCTGACCCACTCGATAAACATTGCAACCGGTACCTTGCACCGGTTGGCGTTCGCTTTTCAAACTTGAGGCGACACTCCTCAAAATTCTTAAGCTACCCTTCTCGTCCAAAATTCTGTACGTTTTGGACGAACGCGTTCCACGTAGCCAAAAGCGAGGCCTTGTCACGCTTTTGGTTGCCGTTGTACCATCGATGTCTAAGGAAGACATCAAGATAAAATTCTTCCTCAGCGCGAAAGTTACTCGCGCTGGGATCCAAGCAGTGAAGCTCAGTCGCATCATACAAGGGTATTCGATGGTGTTGGCTTGTCTCGTGAGACAAGCCATTGATGAGCCGTTCAGGCAAACACCACGGCTTCAGATCATCACTCTTCACAGTGTTACCCTTGTCGGTACCACGGTTGTCAGTATGACGATGGCTTGCACCATCGTCAAGTCGCTCGTTTAAAGGAGCACGAGTTGATCGCGGTGATGAGCAATCATACTCATCATCAGGCTCATCATCAGGCTCATCATCAGGCTCATCATCACTGCCGAACAGACTGTGACGCATGTTACGATTCCGTACATCCTGCAGTGTCGTGGATGAATGAGGCACCGCTGGTGAACGCGGTGCCTCCAAAGGCTTTTCCGAGTCAGACACGTCTGACCCGCCAGAATAGATGACCTCTATGTCAGGGTCATCATGCGCACTCGTTGTTGTACCGCGTGCACCTGCAGCACCTGTTGCTGCAGGCAGAGAACGAGCAGCAGAAGACGAATCGTCTGCCGCAGAGGCTGGCACAGCAGCGGGATGTGTGTTTCTTGAGTCACCCCGCATAGACATGTTAACTATGCGAGGTCGGGTGGAAAGTGAATGGAACGGACCCAACAAGTGCTCCCTGTCCCAATGGTGGCCAAAGGGTGGCCGCCATGTTTTCGATAGTCACTCGGTGACTATCAGTTAAGGGGGGTGATGTAACGGGGCAGCCCGTTACATGGAAATTGTCATTTGAGAGATAATGACAATAAATAATATTATGTTGAATATTTTTTTAACAATATCAAAAATAGTGGTGATATTGATGGGTCGACCAAAGAGTCTGCTCATTGGTTGATATCTTGATGACATCAACCCACCAATCACCGCAAGACGTGCGCAATGAGTGGTGACAAGACGTCACCATACACTCAGTTATATTAGCATAATTGAGTTAAGTCAAACAGAGAGACAGTAGTTAAAGACTTAAGTATATTAATATAACAGTTCTACTTTTACCTTACCTACGCTTCCTCGTTTGCCTCGTGTACGTCTGTCGGGCGCACCGAAACCCTTGCGTTAAGTTCACGCAAGGGTGTGCCCCGTTACAATTGAGCCTTTCTTTGGCATGAAGCTGTAGCTCCGCTACATTCGCGGTTCTTTATTCACCCATAATCTCTTCGATCTCTCGACCGATCTGTTCTTCCGGTGAGCTATCCAAATACTGTTCTGCTCGCTGATCTGTACTTGGATTCTGTCATCGCTTGGCGTGGTGCACAATATGTCCTTTTGCTCTGTCGCTCGTCATACCCTTTTTATATAATACCCTAACGCCAACCCGAGCGCGATGTCGCGTTCCCTGCTTTACTCTCAGCGTCGTATGGATGATTGATTCTGACGAGTCATCGCCGTGCTAGCCGTCGCCGGGACTTGTCAGATTGAGTCAGTCGTGATTGTCGACGTATAGTGTATGAGTGATTTATTAAAAACATTCTGGACAGCGGAAGCTCACGTTATAGTCTAACGGCGTGGTTTTGAACGAAGAGATTGGCAAGGACCGGCGGATCCAAGTAATGTGCGACCTGTCACTTGATTGATTGATTGATTGATTGGGATTGATGGGGTCGGCAAGAGTCAAGGCGGTAAAAGGGTTTTTTCGTGTAAACGTTTCTCCTCGTGCTACAAGCACGTTGATTGCGTGTTACGAATAACTGACAACGATAACGAATATCACTTTAAAATTTGCCACACACCAACAACTTGTTCCTCTTCTTTTTGTGCCTGCCACACTATGTGCTTCGCTACGATCGCTACCGACAGAGCGCTAAAGCGGTTTTAGTGCGCATCATTTATGTACGAAAGAGCACGAATTGTCGTTCCTGATCGAGCCTTTTGAGTTGTTGATAGCGTGTAACAACTCCTACGCGATGTTCATTCCAGTCAAATTGTAGTGGGTATCTAACGCGCCCCTGTACTGTCTGGATCACAGTCTTTGTACCACTTCCAACATGATGTTCGTTGCAGTGGACTGTGGCCCCTGACCTCAACACATCACTTCAGCGATCCTAAAATGCATTCTACAAAGAACTGAAGGTCTCTTTTTGACGAATGAGAATGAGGGCATAAAATCGACCGTATCCGTGTTCTACAATTATCGTTTATACTTCCGATTCTTCCGTGTTGCTCATTGCCTTAGCGATAGCGATCGCCGTAGAGTGAGTGATCCTGAGACAAAGGCAATACCACATTACTCGATGAAATCCAGAAAGCAGTATACAAAAGATCATCAACAACACTTGTAATGGTGTGTGCGACAACATTTACCGGTGAAGATTTATTGAGAACAAGCTTACTCTTGCTGTTGACGCAGTCTTCGCAAGCTTGTATGTATCTCGCCACTCACGGTGAAAGACTGGTCGAGCAGTGGTCGGTATTTACTATGTGGTAGGTTGGTCCAATGCCTTGCTGTCCACCTTCAACCGAGTTGTGACAAATTGGTAGGATTTTGTCGACAGCAATGTCGAAATCACCAGTCGCAGCTTACTGTCTTCTTTTGCGTCTCTCTTGATTCCCGACGCCGGCCCATATAACAAAGTATACTGTCCTGGCGTAGTCTTATACTTCCGAGCACATTCCATACGTTGTTGACTCGGCGACGAGACAGCCGTCGACTTCTCCTCGTAGATGCACTTCGAGGATTGCACACTTGGTATCTACACGCTTGAGCAGCTAAAATTCGTCGCCGTCGCTTATCTTGGCACTGTAAGTGGATCAATGCCATTTGCGCTCGTCAAAGCCTTCTTGCGTCTCGCAAGTCTTAGGTCGGCCATAACAATCGTCGAGTCTCTGGTCGTCGAAAAGCCATTTCGTATTCGTCACTTTCACTGGTCATTTCACTTGCTCTTATCGATTGTCGACCAGAACCTCATCGACCCGGCGTATCCTCTGTTCCGTTGCCCGGCTGGTCGACGAATCTGACTCGACGAGGTTTGTATCATGTCGTTGCTGACACCCCCGGCACTTCTTCAGTATTTTCGCCGAGGGGGGCGGCTGCTGCGAAGATTAGTCCTGGAATAGTATGTTAAGTTACGTAGTCCCCCTTCAAAGACTGAAGCACCACTTACGACCGCTGATTCAAAGAATACAGATCCGTCAGTCAATGATTGAAGCACTTCTTACTGACTGTTCATTCAAGAATAAATCGTAAGCGATGCAGCTTATTGGGGTATACGCCACATCCCTTGCGGTGTCCAAACCTGCTCGATAGACTCCACGCGCGATCTTTTTTGTGCGATCCGAGCCTTGTGAAGCTCGGAATTGTCTGTCTCTTGCACTGTAGTCTCGATCGTACATCGTGACCGAACAGAACTACCGCGTGTCGAATCACTTGCGATGTAAGTTGGTACGATGTTTTGCCATATGAAGAGAAATGGACGTCTCCACTGTAGTAAGCGTCTGTATATTGCGCACCGACACTTGCTGTGCTGGAGATTCTAGCACACATCAGTACAACCATCGCAACCTTCCCTTCTAACACCACAAGCCTCTGATTGCAACGTACGCACTTTTGTTCCCTTCTGTCTTCGAGTCAAAGAACCACACTTGGCTCGCTCCTTTTTATTCACAAAACAACCCTTTGTTCTGATCTTACAAACCGAGCTTCGAGCAGTCGGGGCCAAGAACCCCTGCTATCGGAACGAATACCTACAGCTCGTCGCTGACTTCTGCCGTCTCTTCCATTGTCTGTATCGGTTCCTCCTCCAACGTCGCGTACTCATCGTACGTGAGGTCCTTGGGGTCTTCAAAGTGCTTGGCCCATGGCTGGAAGAACATAATCAGTGCAAACACCACGAGCAGCACGAAGGACAAGCTGACACACACTCATGCACAGAGTCAGCAGCCAGTCGAAGCCAGCGAACAAACGTGCAACAGACCCAATAGCAGCACTGACATGGCCTTCGTCTTGTTGTACCCCGCCACCGAGAGATGGAACGAGTCGAGAGCCTCTTCAAGTTCCTTGATCCGTTTCTCATACGACGCACGCACTTCCAGTGTCAGCCTCCCTTTCTTTACACCAGCTTCTTCCAGCTTCTTGTCCTGGAACACCAGTGCATTGTACTTGGCCAGTTCGCCACGGGCCATAGCCACTGCACGCGCACTTTTGCCAGTCTACGGGATCCCCACAGTTTTCCCATGTGCGTACAAGCACAACGCACAAAAGACAGACACAAAACAAATCGTCCAGTGTGAGCATTTTGTCGTACAGCAAGTCAAGCCAAAGTGAGTCGCTCGACAGATAATGTACAAATACACGACGTGTCTAAAAATAATAAAAACACAACTTCTGCGCCGATCAAAAGGAAAAAAACACAACTTCTACGCCGATCAAAAGGAGAAAAAAATCAAGACCCGACTGGCCACAAAAGACAGTGGCAGATCGATCATCGAGCGAGCATGACCTCACCTGCTTGGTCGTATAGCGCTGAAACTCTTGATCGAACTGCTCTGCGGCGCGTTTGGCGGTGGTCGGCTCGGCATGGGGCACTTGATCGGCGCCCATGGAGACCACCGAGAGCGATCAGGACGGGCGTTCACTGGCTAATAATATTCGTTTGGTCGGCACAAAAAGGCAAAGTGAATCAAATCACAGTCCGCAGACCATTTCGTTCACGGTGTATGCGGCAGAATAGTCACTAATTGGTGGAAAGCACACGACCGACGATACAAGCGCTCCTAACTTTCGTGGAGACTCGCGACAGTCAGTACGTAAAACGTGGTCCCGAGATGCAATGCGTAGGGATTGTTGCCGTCCACAGCTGTCTGCTCGTCAATGAGCACAATGCGACCCACAACGTAATCGGGATACCTGGAAAGCAAACACTCGACACGTGAGGCGGCGGTACAAACAGAAGGATCCCACGTCCCAACCAATTGAGTGCCACTCGCTCACCTTTGCCCGTCATTGCTGAAAGACGAAATGGACTCTTCCGAGAGGAAACGGTGTGGACAGCCGAGATGGAAAGCCAGGTACACCCGCTGGACGTCGCTGCCAGGGGCGGATGTCGGCAAGAACAGTGCCAGGTCGTTCACGCTGAAGCTTCGAAAAGAGATCTTAAACGAGTCGCTCAGGTCCTGCTCCGACTCCATCAAGCGCAAGTCGGACCGCTGCTGCTCCAGCTCCGTTTGCAGCATCTGATCGCACCACACACAGTTCACCGTCAATGGCCCGCTTGCGTCACCCACACACACACACAATCTCAACCACAGCAGCTCACCACTTCTGACTGGGCAATGGCCAGCAGCTCCTTCACACGCACTTCAATGGCTTCAAAACTAGCGTCTACGGCCCCAGCATCGTCCTCAACGACAGGAAGCTGCAATAGCGCAAGTAGCTTTGCCAACGCTGTCCGCTGGGCTCGGACACGGCTGCTCAGGTCCGTTACCGTTTGCTGAAGTCGGCACTGGGTCTCCTTCAACTGCTTCTCGCGCTTCAATCGCTCCTGAATCTCCGTACAGTCGACAACAGCAAACAACAAGGCACTGCACCGGTTAAGGAAACATCGGGACATCAAGCACCACGTCACCTCTCCCTCCACACAAACATGCAAACAATCAGTTGCAAAGGATATTCTTCAAACGCCGCCGCGTTCAGCAAAAATTGCTGATTTTCACTCTGCTTGACCACAAAATCACACACCATCGCGACTTAGTTCACGCGATCCCGCCAGTGTATCGATGGAAGCAGCAAACACGTACCTCCAGCTTAGCGATTGTCGCCTCTTTATTGTCGACATCTGACCCATTCGCACATACGAGCAAGTCAGAACCGATGTCAGGAACATTCGTCCCGACGCAATTTCTCGTCGCCCACCGATATTGCGCCGCAGACCCAACCCATCGCCTTCTGAAGAGTTCGTCATGCCACCCGCTGTCGCTGCCAATGCCATAACCAACGGAAACTCGCACGAGCTATCGCCTTCACGCGCGCTGGCCTTGGACGTGTCGGAGCGAGGTATTGATTCACTTCCAGATCCATAGTATAGATTCTTCTTCGACTCTTCCAGCTCAGCAGTGAGCTTCAATACTCGCGCTTCCAGTTCACTGCAGCGGTCCTGAAGAGCACGGTCTGCATTGGCAGTCGAGTCCGACAAACTGCCACGGTCCTCGCGATCACCTAGATCAACTGACGGCGACCGTTCCTTCTCTTCGTACACACTGAGGTCGTCGTCGTCTTCATCTTCTATGCTCGGAAGGTTTTGGTCGAATGGACGCATGCGGAACTCACAGTGCGATGGCTTTTCTGCAAGCCCGGAAACAAAGTCACGAGGCAGGTGCTGGCCATAGCTGCGCAAGAACTCCTCACGGTGTTGTACCTGCGTCCATATAGACCGTGACGACGCACAAGTCAGTGACAGCAGCAGACCCCGCTGTCTAGCGCCGTACCTCATCCTCACGCATTTGTGCAAGTTCTTCGGCCATGGACTGGATTCGGTCTGAAAACAGACGGCCATACTTCAGACGTCTCGAGATCTCTTTCAGACAAGCCGTATACGATCCTGTCGCGCAAACAAAACAGCTTTAGCCATTCCGCCCGTTCCACCGTTGCCGACTCACAACTCGACACAAGCATTACCAGGCAGCTTTTCCAGGTGTTCCAGCTCGTAAAAGTGTTTCTTTTGGACAGCCAAAGCTTCACGGAATACCGCCAACGAGGTCTCGAAATCTCGGATCTTTGACTGCAAGATAGAGACTTGACGCAGTGTCGAGTGCACGCGCGCAAAGGCGTTCGACTTTTCAGCAGCGATCTTGTTCACGTGATCCGCGGTATGTTCGAGAAGCTTCTGAGCATCAGGGACCTGCGACAGCAGCAAAGCAGACGTTAGCATCGCCCATTCAAACCTCGACCAGGTTCACTACATGCCAGCAATACATACCATGTTTTGCTGACCTTGGTATAATTTGTCAATGCGCCGACACACGTCTAAAGCATTCGTCGACGCTTGCATAAGATTACTTCCGACTGCTATCGCTGACGTCTCCTCAATACTGCTGAGCACGTACTGTAGATTGCCACGCAAGGTACTTGTGATACTCGTTTGCTTACTACACAGCGCTTTCATCTGTTCCAAGTCAACACTTGCTTCGTCATACTCCCGACTCGATTCGGCATGCGCAGTCATCATCTCAACGACTTCGTTGCAAATTTCGTCGTGAGCTTGTTGGAGCTTCAGCACCTGTCCTCGAACGTGCGTGTGTGACTGCTCGCACTGCGCGGCCCATTCACGCTCCTTTTCAACAGGTATGCAGTCATACAGTGCCTTCCGTTCTGCAGTAGCCAACGCCGGATGAAGCTCCACGGTAGCCAGCACCTCCAGATAGCTCTCAAACTGACTCAAAAGACGTTCGTGCTTGTCACTTGCGGCTTGAAACTCTGCCCAAAACGGAGCAAAGTGCTTCATCATGGACGTCTTGAACAAATCCAGGTTCGCGACAGCTGCAGCAATCGCTCGCTCCTGCACTTGCAGTTCCTGTGCACCGCGTTCACTAGCACGAACGTTCGCAAAACTGCCGCTCTCCAGCGCCTCACATTGGCTGACCTGTAGTTGGAAATAGCCCTCGTACTCTGCCAACGCCCTCATCATCGGATGGGAACTTTCACTCAGCAGCTTGGAACCTCCCGACGACGCCACTGGCTGCGACGGCACTTTCATTGCCATTCAACAGTGAAAAAGACACACACACATACACCGACATGCATACACACAACTCGAATCAACATCCAGCTCCTCCTCACTAGAGAAAAATGCAAAGAAAAAGAAGAGCGACAACATCCACAATGTCGTACATGACACATCCACTGGAGTGATTGCTGCTGCCGCGGGTAACACCGTGGCTCCAGTCTCTCGTGACAGCAGTCGCCGGTCGTACAAAAACACCTCCTTCTGGTCCTGCAGAGTGCAGCACCGTGATAAAACCTCATGAGGGCGTTACGTCCGTCTGCGTACAAAAAACCTTGCCCGCTGCAACGGAATAAAACAAGCAGCGTACAGCTGGTAAGCCATAGGACTCGAGAGCGCGACGTGGGTCCAAGCGCGCAAAGGGCGGACCGCACAGCAGGATCTGATCGCTAGTGGGAACACCGCTGAGACGTTCCAGTTCGTCGCGCAGCTCTTCAATCACGACACTGTACAACAACACCAAAGCGCGACGATCGAATCGAGTGCATCGTGGTTGTATACAATCATGTCGGTTTTAAACACTTGTCGACTACCACGTCGGAAAAAAACAAACTCGCAAAAAGGCAAACAGCGCGTACTTGACCGAGGCCAGCGTGACCGCGTGCAGGACACCTGTGGACGCGTCTCCCACGCGCACGACCACGTGGCTGCACGCCTTGTTCTCGTCGTAGTGCGCGAGCGGCTGCGTCATTGTCGTTGCAACGTCCGTTAGAAACCACAGGAGCTCACTGTGCCCATGAAGGCAGGGACTTGCCAACTGCTTTTGTTCTTTACGCTTGAAAAAAACAAGACGGGGCCGCTGGACTTGAAAAAAGACGGTTCTTTTGAAGTTGTGCCGACAAATGGGAAAAGAGCCCATTTGTCGGGCCGTTCGACTGGGTTTGTGTCCACGCTTTTGGCTCTTTGTGACGATCGTGCGTGTATTTGCGCATCGAATTTGAGACGACAAGCACCCAACTTACCTGCTCGTTGTGCATTTATGCTGGTCGATAGTTAAACCTCACTGTTGACGACGAAAATACAGCGTTGACACTGTAACCGCGACGTCAAATCGCGCACCGTGAGGACGCAGCTCCGTCACGTGCTGAGTATCGCCACAATTGAATTTATGCGACATGTGATAAGGCACATCCTGCCACTTTACACAACGTAGTAGTAGTAGTAGTAGTAGTAGTAGTAGTAGTAGTAGTAGTAGTAGTAGTAGTCGTAGTAGTAGTAGTAGTCGTAGTAGTAGTAGTAGTAGTAGTAGTAGTAGTAGTAGTAGTAGTAGTAGTCGTAGTCGTAGTAGTAGTAGTAGTAGGAGTAGTAGTAGGAGTAGTAGTAGTAGTAGGAGTAGTAGTAGTAGTAGTAGTAGTCGTAGTCGTAGTAGTAGTAGTAGTAGTAGTAGTAGTAGTAGTAGTAGTAGTAGTAGTAGTAGTAGTAGTAGTAGTAATAGTTGTAGTAGTAGTAATAGTAGTAGTAGTAGTAGTAGTAGTAGTAGTAGTAGTAGTAGTAGTAGTAGTAGTAGTAGTAGTAGTAGTAGTAGTAGTAGTAGTAGTAGTAGTAGTAGTAGTAGTAGTAGTAGTAGTAGTAGTAGTAGTAGTAGTAGTAGTAGTAGTAGTAGTAGTAGTAGTAGTAGTAGTAGTAGTAGTAGTAGTAGTAGTAGTAGTAGTAGTAGTAGTAGTAGTAGTAATAGTAGTAGTGGTAGTAGGAGAAGTAAACGACCGATAGGATGAGTACTTGACTTTTTAGGATTCGAATGAGACGGATGAGAGCGATACCTATGAATACCAGAGCCACGGTCATCTTTGTACAGCTTCTATGACTGACTGCGGTATTTATTGAAAACAACGAACGGAACGCCACTCTAGAGCAGTAGCGACTATGTATCTAACGTAGAGGGAGCAATGACTCGACTAGTGCTTAAAATGGCTTACTTATAGAGGTACTCCATGCAGGTCTCAAAGGAGCAGTCAACGTTTGTTTTGATCGACAGCGACTGCGACTTCCACTTCTAAGCCAGCAGCTTGTCAGCCAAATACTTTGTAAGACGATCATGAAACGGGACAGCGACTCCAGCTCAACCTGTGCTCTTCTGATAGAAAGTCGGAGACAGAGTGACCATCCAGTTGGCCTGCACAAGCGAAGTACTGACATCTGAACAATTATCAATACCAAATTGGAACAATCAGTGTCAGTCATGCTTTGGCACCAGTAACGCTCGCGGCATTGTCTTACCTACACGTGAGCTAAACGAGAGTCTTACATCGGAGTAAAGTCGTTTCGTCAGCACTCTACGAGAACTTTCTTGCTTTGTGTGGATATCGATATGTCAAGCGAGTCTCCGATAGCAGTAAAATGGTGTCGCGATTACGACTTTGATCACTTGTTGTTGCAGGACAAGCAGATCTTGTGGCTGTGGTGGGCGTGCTTATGGCGTGACGAAACATATGAAGTACTGCAGTTGATCGCTGTATGGTTACTACGTTTTGTTTGTTCGATCACAACGACTGCTTCCGCTCGATTCGGTAGGTGCTAGCTGTAGATCATCGCTTACTTGTTCGTTATCACAACCACAGCATCAATTATGCTGTCAATACAGCATTACCGAAAACGTCACCACGCGAGGCGAGCACAATATGAATACATCAACCGCACATGACCCATTTCTCAGCCTGCGCAGATAAAAGCAGTTCGAGCGGTGGCTGTATTCACTTCGTCGATTGAACATCAAGCGATCATTCATTCATTCATTCATTCACTTACTCATTCACCTTTGCCGCAGCTCATATAAAATAACCTAGCACACGCCTTCCGATAGACCCTCCGAGATGTCCTCCGACAAATTGCGAGAACGTCGAAACAGCACGTCCTCATTGCCAAACGTCTTCATAAAGTGGAAACCCTCCATGGACTTGTCTTCACCGACAGTGTTCAGCCGCGGGGATTCCGTGGCAAATGCTGACATATTTCGAGACACACCGGGCGGCGGCATGGGTGATAGCAGGAAACGCGGTGACAGCGGCGACTCCTGGAAGTCATTCACCTGGTGTGCAACCGGTCGAGGCTTCTGCTCTTCGTGCGCCTTCTCAGTATCAGCAGACTCCGCTTTGCTCGCCCCCTTGTCTTTGATACCAATAGACTGCTTAAACTTCGAGTAGCTTGCTTCCCACTCGGGCCCGAGCATGTTCGTCAGTGCCTTCAGTACTTCCTCGCTCGACCGTAAGCGGTGCTCTTCAAACGCTGGCAGCCGCACAATCTCGTGGATGTGTCGCATCAAGAACGGTACGCAGTTCTTTTTCAAATCGTCGGCGTTGCACTCTTCAGACAGCGTCAACAAATCCACGACGTTCTCCACACAAATCTGGCCGCTCAGAAAAGCTTCTGTACGCTTCTGCAACTCGTACACGCAATAGAACGAAGACGCTCGCAGCAGTTCTTCGGCCACACCCGGAGTGATGTCGACTTTGCCGGTGTACTGCATGTCAGTAAATTCGCATTGTTAGTATTCGTTCTTCTATTCTGTCTTCACACAATTTGCTTCCGAGCAAGAACCCTACCAGAAAGCGCAGCAGGATCGAAAACACTTCGTAGCTGCAATTGTCGACTTCGATCACTGCTGTTTGGCTGCTCGCTGATCCAAACTACATCATGTCAGCAAATGCCATGAACAGCGTAAGCAGACACACTCGGTACACAAAAACGCATGCCAGCAGAAGATGATTCTTGGATAACGATACTTACTCTCACCACGTTCTTGAAATACGAGTTGCGAAAGAACAGTACGACTTTGTGAGCGTTGATTGGAGCAATGTGACCCTTCACGAGAAACTGCAGGTCCGACAGGGACGAATTCAAGAACAGCTCTTCGTGATCATCCACAAGATACGGTGGCACATCGATCGTCACATCCGGGTCATAACCTGCAGGCACCAAATGCTTTATCGCGTGAGCTGCAGCGCAGCGGGGAAACTCTGCGGTCGACTGCAGCATGTGATACAGCACTGAGATCAGGCCTTCGGACAGAAGACTTACGACCTCCTCGGAACCCATCATGTGCACAAACGTAAGCAAGATGTTGCCACGCAGTTCTCCTGTACAAACACACGCAGACGTTACATCGCGCTCAATTGCAAGGTAACACGCTGATGTGACTGACGTACCGATATTTGCGTCAGCAGACACTCGGGCGACAGCATGAAGCATCCGCCGAAAGTCTTGGCGGTTGATCTGCTTCCAAATGTTGCGAAGTGCTTCCAAGCAAATGGCCCATGTACTAAGCATCTCATCCACCTCTAGCATCTGCAAGACTGCCCCCTCGAGCACCATCTGAAGTGTGCTAGCCACGCTGCAAGACAAGGCGCATAGCGCGCCAGCAGCATGTGACGATATCGACTCGTCATGATGGTGGATGGCGTCCATCAATAGCAAGATACCGCCAAAACGTGTTACGTAGTCATGATTCAGTGGGTTCTCCATCAATGATTCCAGTGCAATTACCGCTGTGCGCTTCTTGTTCGCGTCTTCGTCCCTCAACAAGTCGAGAAGACCGGGAATCGATCCCTCGACACACTTATCACACAACCGTGCGCGCCCTGCAGATCCCTCCACAACTGCTCGAGATCTGGAACAATCGTTGCATATAATCACGCCGCATTCCTGTTCAAACATACGACAAGACAGGATTAAGCGAGGGGTAAGCCCTCCATTCACATGCAAATGCAATGGATGAAGCGTCATTACCCGGCAATGATGTTTACGCCGGTAAAACGTGAACGCAACGTGACAGCAACCGCACTCTACTGCCTCGTGATCCTCAGCCCAAGGCTTGATGAGGCCCCACTTCAACAGATCGTTCGCAGACTCCACGATCGTCGAGTCAACCGAGCGGAAACGGATGTTCAGGTGCTCTACCAACTTGTCGCCCAAATACGGCGACGATCGCACGGAGGTGGGGTCGTAGGCGTACAGCGAAGCGCCGACTTGCCCTAGCTGAACCGAGTAGGCTGGTAGTCGTCCGACCCAGTTGGGCAGACCCACCTTCCACGGCAAATCACGGCCACTGTAACCATTGTTCGACAATATGTCCACAATGTCTTTCATCCATACACTTCTGTTCACACAGATGTATCGCCCACGAGCATCATTCGTTTCTAGAGCTGCGATATGTGCTACAGCACAGTCCCGGACGTCGACCATGCTCCAATTCAAATCCAACAAAGCCGAGTACTCGCCCGTAATCAAGTCGTACAGGACTTGGTTGCCAGGCGCAAGCTTCGACTTCAGTAGCATCGGGCCAAACAAAGTCCCAGGGTTCATCGTCACCAGATCAATGCGACGGTCGCTGGGCAATTGATCCACAAGCTGCCACGCTGCTTCCTCGGCCAGCTTCAAGCTGAGAAAATGTGGATTCTTCTCCAACGATGAAGTCACATTCCAACAGGCATCATTGATGATGGAGTCTGGTGTCACCGAGTCTGCCATGGCAGCGATGGACGACGTCAGAACGACCCGTTTGATACGTGATCGTGCACAAGCTTGGATAAAGTTTGTCATCATGGGGATGATGCAGTGCATTCGGCTGCCAACACTATGCACTCCTGGTTCCTGCTGCTCCGATAGCGGGTCGCGCACCGAGCAGGACGATGGAGTGCCCGTGTGGATGACAAAGTCACACCCTATTCAATACGAACAATAACAAAAGCGTACGATCACACCACTGATCCACCACACACACAACGAGACATCGTCACATCTTCTGCACATAGCACGCACCTTGAACAGCCATGTCGCAAGCCTCAGGCGTCAAAAGCGACGTTTCGACGACTGAGAAGTTTTTGCTTGCGTTCGGTAGCTGTAGCAAGCCATAAACATCGTCTTTGCCATTTTGCACAGTACCTCGCACGCGGTAGCCGCGGCTCAGCAGCTCGCACACGATCCACGATGCCAAGAAACCGTCGACACCTGTCACGCAGACTGGCTTTTCGCTCAAGTTGGTCGCAAGCCGCACAACCTTTTTGGCAAACTGCAGCTGTTTCCAGACGCTTGGGTACATGCAGTGGCGGTCTACTGGTCGCTTGTATTTCTTGCTTGCTCGTTCTCCTCCCTTTTTCTTGGAAATGCGGCGTCGCGTCTTGAGCAGCATTGCTGGGCTGGTCACGGTGCCACTGGCACTGCTGTTATTCGGATTAAAACTGCTAGCGTGGAACTTCACCGTGTTCCGAGGCGTCCCTGCACCACCGTCGAGACTAGCAGCACTGGCGTTCCAATGACTGCCATTGCGCTGATGGTGCATCAGCGAGTAGGACGCTGTCGACGCCGACGACGACGTCGTCGAGTCGAGTGACTGGGTGGGACTGCTCGGTCCGGCAGCAATGACAGCCGCAGCGGCACCAGGTAAACTCGTCCGTGTCTGGTCTTTGCGACTGACGCTCTTGGTGCCTTTTCGACGGGACGGTCGCGTGGACGACACGCGCGCGGGTTTCGTGCGCGGCGTCTCAAGTAGCAGCGGCCCAGGCGTCGTGGGGCTCCCACTGTGGTCCGTGCCTCCCTCCTCGTCGTCGTCGTCGTCGTCGTACTGCGAGCCAAAAAGCATGGCACTGTCTACGGTCGACGAAGCTTTTCGATTGGACCAATTATGACACTACAAAGCGCAAAAATCACAATACAAACACGACCAACAACACCACAACACACCAGATGGAACGGGGAGCTCGTGAGTGGATTAGGGTAGGGAACAACAATCATCAGCGGGTAGGGGTCGAGCGAGCGCTGAAGTAACGCGTAGCCACTTGTCTACCTTCGGGTCCAAGTCACTGCGACAAAAACACACACACACACAGCTGCCGACGCACTCCCAGTCGCTGCCGTGTCGTCGAAGCTGTCAATGGGCCCGCAACAAGTGCTACGCGCGTACGTGTTGAGGTGCGCGTTCTTCTTGGCTTGCGCGCGGTAGTAAAGTGCGGATGGACGCGCACTTACGGTGCAGGTCGTTGCGGTCGCTTTCGTGGCTTCTCTCGCGAACAACTGACCAGATGGGTCGATGGGTCGGTCGGTGGATCAATTGATCGGTCGATCGGTCGATATCGGCCGCTCAACTCAGGCGGGAGAGAGGTGGAAAGTGACAAGTGCTCGCTCGTTACTTTATGGCTACTTCAACCTGCGGGAAGGCATGAGGTGTTCGTGAAAAGAATAAAGAGGCACGCGGCGTTGCCAGTAGATTTTCCGCAAGCGGTTGCACGGATCAAATGTGGTCCACTAGAGACCGAAGAACAATAACCCGACAAGCAATGGAACGGATTTTTGCTCCGCGCTGGGCGGTACAAAGGACTGAAAAAAAGCGCGGACCCGATCCACTACTATTACATGACTGGCTGACTATCGATATACACACGAGCGAGCCAGATGTTTGACTAACTCGCGTGCTTTGCTCGTGCTCCCTGATACTACGTAATCGCCGTAAAATACGATAAATTACATAGCGATGCGATTTCTTACGAGATCGTGCATCGAACTTCTACTACTTCATCACCTGCTCTTCGCTCTAGCGAGTATACTTACTGAAGGTCGACGCAGTGCATTTCGTTCTGCTGACACAAAGACAGCAGAAAAAAAGCTGGTTCAGCTACGGTGATGATGGTGTTCAGGCAAAGTAGTGTCGCGTACTCGCACAAATGAGCTCCACAGTTGAAGTTATGTTGCTGCGGTTGTTTCTTCTCGTCTTCGTGCAACAAATCCTGCAGACATGCAGCGATGACGAATAGCAGCTCGGGGCGATTGGCGAGAGTATTCACTTGCATTGCCACTCGATTGTCACCTACTGCTTTTACGCACAATTGTCACGATCATCGAGTACAACCATTACCTACACACAGGCGATCTCGGCATTGTTCCCAGGAACTATCGCTGAGACCGGTATCGGTACCCTCATCCAATCGTTTTGACCTGCTCCGCTCGATTGCAACCAACTCGATGCGCAAAGCCATCGTAGCTTGTTGTTCGCTGGAGTCCATGCTCAGCAAGCGTTAACTCGGTGGCATCATGCAGCGCCGCTACTAGAAAACGCGCACGCACATGTACTACTCTTGTCTTCTTGGTCTCCGTGTAAACTCGTTTCGAGCGTCGTCTTCGATACAAATCTGCTGTCAACAGTCGCTCTTCGGTTACGATCCAAGTGGTCGAGAGTGAGGCTGACCAAAACGAAAGCCCGCCCACTCCGCTTCTGGTTTCACTGCGGAAGTCGCCTTTGCCGCAGTTGGATCTCAATCGCTTATGTTCCAAAGGAATGTGCAGGATCTTGTACTATTTTGCCTCTTCTAGACGTTTGACCTGAAACTGGCGACTCTTTGTCAAGTGTTCGCACGTAGACGACTCCACCGAGATCTCGTGCCATGTGTGGACAAGGTTGTGAACGGCGCTAGAGCACTTGCACCACAAACAGGGAAACTTCGTCCGAGGATCTCGCCTGTACAGGCCTTCAGGCGGCGTATCGTTGCGACAAAGCTGGATCGCGTGGCACCTCGTCGAGATAATGGCGAGAAGGCCCGACGCTATTTATACTTACGAATGCACTGCGCCAAATGGCACTCGATCCATCTACAGTCCGGCAGATTGCTGTATATACATCGTCGTGATAAGATCGTTCCTTGGTCACCATTGACCAGTAGTCTAAGCCAAGTCTTCGGTCGTCGGGATTTGAATTTGATCCACTGTCGTGTCGACTCTGGCTGTCAGAACGTGTCGATCGTCGTACTCGCCGGGTAATACACAGATTTGCTAGCTCATACCAACATGACATGCGTCGGTTGCCCCAGATCGTTATGCATGCACGTGATTGCGTGGCGGGTGCCTCGTACCAGCAGCATGTGACGGACTACGGCAGCGGTATACGCAATGGACGTATCGTTGTTACCGCCCAGATCCGTCTCATGCGAGAAGCGGTCGAAATGGAACCGACGACTCCGACCATTGTGTCACTCTCGATCCTCGTTGCAGGTGGTAGTAGAAAGGCTGCGCTTTGTACGTGGGGTGATTTGTGATCGGCGGTGATGTGACCGTGCGATGATGATTGCCTTTTGTTTGGAGTTGTCTTACGTACTGCCTGTTACTTCCTTGGACAGGCAGAGGAGAGAGGGTCACTGGCATGATGGTGAAGCTGCATCAACACGTGCGCGCGCTGAAGTGACATCAGCTTCAACGTCTGATCCCACTGCTTACATCCCGTGTCAACGGTAATAGCCCAAGTTTTGTGTGTGTAGCATTTTCACTGAAGAGCGACTCTCGCAACTGGACACTGCCAACGACTACGAGGCCAAAAACGGTACAAAGCTGTCAAATGCGTGGTGTGTGGCTGTTGCCATAGCACGTACGAAGCCGATCCGGGTGGTTTCGCCGTCATCTGGCGTGAGATCAACAAGCGCTAGGCAGGTCGGACGAACGACCACGCGGAACAAGCGAGTACACTTCTGCACACATATATGTGAATAGACCTCTTCTCACTGCATCCTGTCAAAACATGCCGCTGCTTTCACGAAATGTGATTACGTAAGACAAGTCAAAAAGGGTTGACATGCCCGAGACATCTGCAGCAAGGATGAAGCGGATGTGTGTGTCCCCATCCTTCTCGCAGCTACTCAACAATCTCACTGGTCGCACGAGTTCTACCGATCGTAACGGACGCAAGACACAAAGCGGTACTTGCTCCATATGCTCGAGCGCCTGGATGGCGATTGTCACTACGTATATCGACATAGGCGAAGGTACCATAAGCAGCTTGCGAAATACAAAAGAATAATGCAATGCAGCGGCTCACCCGTTTGTTTGATCAGGACAGACGGCACAAAAAAGGTGTCTCTACGACTGTCTCTGGTACGCAGACCGATCCTCTCGCTGTGGTCTATGCGACTTCGGGTCGGGTATGCTCGCAGCGCATGTGTCAGCGACTGCCTTCCACTCACGATACGGTCACCGACATTGACGCAAGAGATTCACCGATCCTCGTCTCTTGTCCATCTTCTCCTTCGGATCGCAATGAAAGGCGTGTCGCATGCGCGACCCCGCAGGTCGCGCGACTGTGGAAAACGAAACTGCTCGTCTAAAAATAGCGCCGTCGCTGCTTCGAGACACCGACGACGACGACAACGACGACACTGACGACGGAAAAAGGAGCGTGACTCGTCTCCACGGCGACGTGCGATGTCGCAGACATACGCCGCTGGCCTTTCTGGCGGCCAGCACGGCATTGTTTGTGATTGGCGACCGCCACCCCGCTGTGACGCCTTCTCATTGGCCCAATGTCACGTAAACCCATCTCATTGGCTCGCAGCGAAAGCCACCGACGACGACCGCGACCACCACCACCACCACGCAAGCGACTAGGGCCCGTTGTCCCCCTTTCTATCGACGCAGTCGCTGCCCTACCCCTCTTCTCCTCCCTACCCCCTTGACCCACTGCGCACTCTCTCTCTTTTCGTTTGGCGCATTGGCCGCGCCGCCACTTTCGCGTCTCCTGAGCAAGTGCCGCCTCGCCCGACACGACTGCATCTCGTTTACATCGTCGTCGTCGTCGTCGTCGCACTCGCCTGTGTCTGCTCATGGAGTCGGTCGTCGACGAGGCGTTCGAAGTGCAAGTGCTGCAGCCGTTTCACGGCTGGACGTTCGAGCGCTTTTGCGACCGCAGCGGCAACCCCTACCCCGAGCTCACGCGCGCCGCCATACATGTCACAGGCCGAGCCGACCGCTTGAACGCCGTGAGGGAAACCCCAACCCTCGAAGTCGGCGCCCTCGAGCCCGCGTCCGACTGGATGTGGAGCCACGCGTGGATGGTCGACAGCGAGTACACGCAGTGCGACGACGACGGCTGGACGTACGGCTCGTCCATGGCCCGGATGAACGGCCGCCTTGCAGCAGGCACGAGCAAGAGCAAACGGGGCTACTACCACTTGCTGCGGCGGCGGCGGTGGATCCGCACGCGCGTGCGGACGCCGCCACTGGCGTTCCACAGCAGCAGCAGCAACAACAAAGACGCAAAGAGCAGCAGCAGCAGTTGCAGCGCTGGCGATCGCCGTAGCATTGGTGTCGATGCACCGCTCGTGCCGGACGCGAGCGCGTTGACCCGCGTGGAGGACAAGAGTCGCGCGGTGATTGGCCGATCCTATCGCGTTGCTCAAGGAACGTTCAAAGCGTATCTGATGTCGCACGTGGCAGCAATGGGTCGACCGTCACAGTTTCTGCGCGTGGAGTTCACTGACGATGATGTGCAAAAAGAAGGCTGGCTGGGCGTACGAGGGACGCTCGCACGTGGTTGGAAACTGCGCTACTTTTTGCTCCGCTGGGACTCCAGCAGTCTCGTGTGTTTACGGGACCGTGCGTCCATGGTGCAAGTGATGGAGGAATTGATTGATCGTCACACGACGTTGCTCGTGGAAGAAGAAGCCAAGCCGCGACAGTTTCATTTCTCCATCTGTAATGGAGACCGTGCGTTGCAATTGAATGCCGTGGACGGCACGTCGCGTGCATCGTGGATCTCGGCGCTCAGTGAGTTGATTGTCCGTAGCCGTGCATCGTTTTTTGCCGCGGACGAGTCGGAAAGTGGCTCGAGGAGTCAAAGTTTTCGACGGATGCGCTCGTCAACGGACGAAGACGGGTCGGTTGTTGGTTGTCCGTCGATAGCAAACGACATACATGGAGACAGCAGCGGTGCGAAACAAAAGCACGCGCGTGGAGCGTGGAGACCGTACAAGTTCATTTCATCGACAATGCAGTCGAAGCGTAAAACAGACGCGTGTTGTCGCCGTGAGTATGCAAAACAATTTAGCGAAGTGCTCAATGTGAAGACTAAGATGGCTGCTACGTTTATAGCTGAAAACATCGATATCCTAGAGGAGAATCTGTGTTTTGCGCAGGAGTACTTGCCATCAGCAATGTCATCGTTACCAAAGAAAGAGATCAAGAGATTGCGGACAGAAGCAGATGCAACTATTGAGGCGTTTCGAGCCTGCTCGACTGCGTCACTTGTCTCGGGCTCGACCAGCGTTCTCAAGTGCAACATGCTGCTGAAAGAGCTGTATTTGCTCGTCCGCCGACTTCAGGAAAGCGTCATATCGCTTGCGCCATCCCAAGAGCACGCAACGATCAAGAAGATTGTAGCTGATTCGCCAACTAAGCGGCGCATCCCGGTCGATTGGTTTACGGAAAGCGTGACGGTGGAAAAGGGACACCAGCAACCCAGTTCGAGTGAAGAGAGCTTACTGTCTACAAGCACATCAATCTCGACTGCTGGGAAGCTGGAGCTGTCCTACACGTCGGGCTCTTCGCTTGAGATGAAGGTACCAAATGCTGTGATATTATCGAGACACGAGAAGCGAAGTTCGTCTGTTCCCGAGTCGAACCGCTCAACCAGTACTGTTGCTAGCCACCACGGTCATAGTTTGCGCGCCTCCGAGGCGATCAGGATAAAGCCGTATGCTGAAATGCCATCGGCATTGCGTGAGGGTCATTTCGACCTCCCTGACGGTGTCAATGGTTATGTCGTGAAAGTTCACGAAAAAGATATTGGCTCGTTGATAGGATACACCCTTTGCTCGACGGCGTACATTGAGCAGCTGGAGGCGCATTTTGAAAACAAAGTAAACATCGCGGAAGAGTTGCTCGCACCTGAAAGTGTCGCTACGAATAGAAGCGACGCATCTGTGACATCAGCACCTCAAAGTGAAGGCCTTGTCAAGGACGTTGCAACGCCAGCAGGTACAACGTCTCCGAGCTCACGTACGTCGACTGCTGCGCCAGCAGCGATGAGCGTCGACGCGAAGAGAATGATTTATTTGGACAAGTTGCGCTCCGCAGACTTGCAGCACACCTCTATGAAGTTTTCCTACGCGATTGGCTCGACGACTCACGAGTTCCATTGCGTGGCATACTTTGCAGCACAGTTTCACGCGCTGCGCGCACTCATAGTTCCGGGCAATGTGGAGTTTTTGAATTCTATCATCGAGAGCAAGCGGTGGAGCACGACTGGGGGTAAATCTGGCGCGTTCTTTTCGATGGTAAGTCGCGCTTTCTCGCTCGTACGTTGGACTAGTGCGCACCCGCTCACCGCTCACATGTTGACCCATTTGCACAGACTCACGACAAGCGTTACGTACTGAAGGGTATCTCAGTGACCGAGTTCAACATGTTTGTTCACATGGCTCCGAAGTACTTTAAGTTCATTTCGCGGGTAGTGGAGGTTCCGACGCCGACGGTGATTACGAAGATTGTCGGTCTGTTCAAGCTCAGCCAGAGTCGACGATTGCTGAAGCACACGGAATACGTGGTCATCATGGAGAATTTTTCGTACGGATTTCCGCCAGGGCAAATGTACGATTTGAAGGGAATTCTCCGCCGTCGGTACAACCCATCGAGTCGGGACAACGCGGACCATCACGATTTCTTCAACAGCGTCTCGAACGTGCAAGTTTCTGTGAACCAGCCGGTATTGCTGGACGGCAACTTTTCCGAGCGCACTCCTGTGCCTGTATCGCAACCAGAGCTAGAGACCATTGAGGCTGCCATTCAGAACGACATTGGCTTTCTCTACCGTGCAGGCGTTATCGATTACTCACTGGTAAGTCTGTTTGTGCATCTAACCTCTTGTTTTTCACTCTTGCTCATCTGTCGTACTTGTTTGTGTATTTGTTGACTAGCTGCTTCGCTTTGACGAGGAGAAGCGGCAAGTCGTCGTAGGGCTCATTGACTATTTGCACCAGTTTGACTTTCTGAAAAAGATGGAGTCAACATCGAAGGCAAGCTTGACTTTCCGTGACCCGACCGTGATCAGCCCGATCTCTTACCGCCGTCGATTCATGAATGCCGTGAATCGCTACTTTGTCGGCATTGAAAAAGAGCTGGAAATTCGGATGCGGAAGCGGTGTGGACACAAGACAAAGCCCGCCATGTTGTGTGCAAACGAGACCGTCACTGCCTCGTCTGCAGATGTGGTTGCTAACGCTGCAAGTCCGCCAACTTCCAGGGCTGCGCATACTGGAGCGGTACGGACAGATGAGGAGCTGCATGCAGACGTCGCTGCACGACTCGTCGACAATATGTCGCTTACAAGCGAGTGTTCGGTGATCTCGGAGCAGTCTCCAGTCAAGTCGGAATGCCACGCGCCGACATATGATAGCGACTGGACAAGCATGAAACCGCGTGGATATTCTGTGTTGCACATGTGTTATGACGAATCCAGTTGCAACGGCGTATCGGAGAGTGACTGCGAGTGCGATCATACCTCGCCGTGCTCGTTGTCCGAGCACGGATCGGTCAAGAAGAGCTGTTCTGCTACTCCACACAGCAAAAACACAATCCTGGAGGAGCGCTGCTCATGACAGCCTGATGCCCTTGGGTGGGCTCAAAAGAGTTATTTCGACACGTGGATTTGCTTCTATCTTGGTGGCAAGGACTCGTGCCGACTATGAAGTATTGATGTAAGGGCGAGGGTCATTATTGTAAAGGTTAATAAGTGTTGAGGCTTGCTCGTCGGTGTTGGGTGTTTGTAGCACCGACCTCCAGCTCAGACCGAGGTACCAAGCGAGAGGAGCTGACTGAATATGCAACCAGGCTAGGAGCCCACCGTGCGCTGGTGGTCATAACGACAGCACGTGTGTGCATGAAATGGTGGGAGGCATGTTGATACGCCTGTATCCAGCATGATAAACCCAGCATGTTGACTAGCCGGCTGGTCAACCAAGGAAGTTTGCTGCAGTCAGAGCAGCAGTTGTTGCAGGAACGTGCGGTCACTACGGATGGAGACGCAAGTGTCAGCATTGCCTCAAGTTTGGCGCCGGTCACGACGTCCGAGTCATCTATGATTGCAGTGAGTGACGTACGACTGCAGATCGACGTTTCAGTAGTATGCCGACACGATCGAGCAAGAGCTTCGAGATCCAACCTGTGTCTCTGGGAACTCTACGCTCTAGTTGTTGACTAAGGAATGATGTGCTGCAGAGCAGTCTACGTGGGTGCACTTGAGGCGTGTTTCGGTCCGAGCATCATCTCGTCTGCTTCCAGCTGCACGTGTGTCCGTGACCCACTTCATGGGGTGCTATCGTACGCCTCTTGGCAGCCATTAGTGTTGAAGATACCGACCGCCTATCCTACGACAGGTCTTTGTACATCGGACAGCCATCACCTCGTTCAGTGTTGTGGGTGCGGTCGCACAAGTGGACGTAAGACACTACAAATACAAATATTTGATCAGAATGTTGTTTTTCCAGGATCGACATCGATAGGGATAGGCCGGCGCCATAACGTTACATGTCACCGAAGTCAGATCAGCTGTGCCGGGCGAGAGTCGATTCGCTCGAAGCGCATCGATTAAACAAAGACAGTGCCAAGTCGACGTGCACTTCAACAGACGAAGTCGTCTGCCATTACTACGAGCACTGATATGGCTTGTGACCTTTACGTCCACACCCCACCATACGCAATCATGTTTGTACGCAATCGAATGCAGACCTGCACGAACCCATTCGAGAGCGCAACTTGATCGAGAGATCGCTGAACATCAAGCCCGCAACGGGCGGATAATGAGCATGTGGTCGTACGAGTGAGCCTACAAAGACAGACGACGAGTAGTAGTCCCCGGTCAAAAAAGCGACGAAGCTGTCGTTACCACTTCAACGGATATCATCTTTGGATGCCTTCGACCTAAAAGCGGAAAAGGTCAAAGAACACGTATGGGCCGGTAAGGACCCGCCATGACATGTCTGAAACGCAGTCTGCACCTCTGATCATCAACATTGCAGAAACTTTGTCAATATCCTCTGCTTATACGCATCCGGAGCGACCGACAGCCGTCAAGACAACCGGATCCACTTATTGGCGAGCGACGGTGAAGAAACCTTTATACATTGGTAGATGTGCCTCCGATGCAGATCCTGAACTTGGCTGTGTGTGGCATCGATACTTGGACCTGAGACAGCGCCTAACCAAAATGCCGTACGATGAATAGCTTATACTTTGTAGCTTCGTACTGCAGTCTCCGACTGTACGGTAGTAGAAGAATAACGACAACGCCTTCTTCCGGTGACAAGAGTCACACGCAAATGATCTTGTCATCATTGAATGCATGCGAATGGTTTCGAGGACATTCTTCAGCGGTCGTGCTTCGAAATCGTAAAGAAGCCACTGTGCAACAAAGCACACGAACCGGACACGTCTACAGGTCTACACGGACACGTCTAAAGTGCGGCGACTTTCGCGTGCATTTTACTGTGGTAAGTGTGTACGTGGCTGCTACTTCGAACAGTCGTATCCGATTGATTTCAGGTCGCTTCTACAGCAGCTCACAGATACTGGACGCAAGAATGACACGCGTGACTCCATGAGCGCCCAAGCAGAGGTCCAACGGATAAGTGTACGTGCTGAAGGTCCAAATGATGTCTGGCTGATTCGAGACAACGACCGTTGCACCTGGTAGATCTGAAGAGAGTAGCACCGATTCGACGCAGAGAGGAAGCCATCCACCTGCCACGTTGGTCACGTGCGCTTCAACATGCACTCCTGACCGCGTGGTCTACTCCGCGTACGTCCATAGACGGAAAGCATAGGAACACCACCGAACTCTACATTCGTAATTGGATGTCCGAAGCGCACGGCCAGTCCTTCGTTTCTCACGCTCGTGCTGCTACGCAACGCAACGTACCAGTGGTGGCGAAAGTGCACAAGTTTCGTCTGGACGAGTGGACGCTTCGTTCTCGATCATATGTGGTGTGCGCAGTGCTCACTCACGCGCTTTTCATGCACTAAGCTCCTGATTCGACTATCACATTGGCAAGAAAGTGTACTTAAGCGTTCCACTTGCGCTACAAATACGAGCGAAAGCCATGCGCACTCGACTATTTCCCGTTGTACTTGACAGCTGACACGCGCACGCAAATGGATCTGCTTCGTCGCCATAATGGACGACCATGCACGTGCTTTGTCGACACACTTGACACTACCAAACAAATGCATCACTTTCGATTCACGTAGGGTACCCTCGATCTCGAGCATCACCGTTCACGTTGCAAATATAACGCAGCAACCGCGTTGCGCGTGGTATCAAAGTGGTAGTTCAACGAAAGGGAACGCTCTGCTTGATGTCGTACCCTATCTGAGACGATGCGGATGCGCTTGGCCAGAACGCTTCAAAAAGTCGTCTCATTTATTCAGCAGAGGGATACGACGTACCACTGGAATGCAGACATCTCGAAAGTTGGATGCCATGACAACTAATAGCAACTTGACCCGCTTCCACTGTGTCATTCCGTGATGGACTTCTCTCTCTCTCTCCCCTTTCTCAGGGCAACGCGATAGCTGATGAACGCGAGCCACTCTACGCGTCTGATGTGTAGGCCAACAATCCATCTATTGTCCACGTCTGCAGCCACCGCCTGCAGGTCTGTCAAAAGCACTTGATTTATCTCAGATTCGGTTGCACTCGAGTGGTGTGGTACACGTGATTCGCCACTTTCACGACAGCTCTCCGCCGCGTCCAGCGAAGCGGTTCAAGTGTGCGCTTTTTTTTCCAGAATGGCTCAAGTTGTATGGCTGCAAATCCACACCACTCACAAAATACAAATGGACCTATGCAGCCGTTTCGCTAGTGACCGAAAACAGCGGACGCAGTTTCGACGTCATAGGCGAAATGCGATTACGTTTGGCCTCAGGCTTTAGACGGCAGCAAGTCGAGTCCTACGACAACAATGAGAGCGCTCGCTCGCTCTCGAGTGGCAGATTCCATCCCGCATTAAGGCCAAATAGGTTCGGGCTCTCTCACCCTGCGGCAAACCAATCGGTAATGATTTGACCTGCAACATCAGTGGCTGGTCATGACGGGCCTTTCCCCGCCTCGAGCGATTCGGTCACGCAGAGAGAAACGAATCCAAGCGCTGGTGCCCTTCTGGGCGGAAAAGCAGGTCGCGTCCCACTTTTGCATCGCAGCACGCAGAGTGCATCCGCTCCGGGAGGGCATCTCTCCATGAAAGAAAGAAAGAAAGAAAGAAAAGACAGACGACAGCGCGTCGCTTCTGCGCTCGGATCAGCTTCAAGGCGCAGGACGTGTCCCGATTAGTCTGCAGCTTCGCCAGTGAGCCAGAGCCGTCCACGGGAATCTCGTGGACTCGACAGCTTGTCCTGCGTAGTGGCGAGTGACGTACGAATCCCGCGCCGAAAACTAACCAACGAACAAGTAGTTATGCCAACAAACCACAGCCCAAAGCGCTCCGCACATCTCCCGTTCATTACATCTTTTGCGCCCGAGCGCCCACGTCGGCCGTCTGTCCATTCAATAGCTCATTCGATCGATCGATCGATCGATCGATTAGTTACCTGTTCACCTCTTTGAACCATCCAACGGGGTCCCTTAGCATTACCATTCGTAGGAAACCGCAGTACCAATGCCTTCGTACCAAGTGGCACTGACCCCGCAAGGGTCCGACTGCCTCTCGGCCGACTCGGTGCCACGCGACGAAGAGCTCTCGCTGAAAGCCTACTGCCGAACGCGCATCACATCGTTGAGGCCGCCGATGAAACAAGTGGCAAACCCGTTGCAAGTGCTGGCGCAGCTCGATCGCCTGCAGTGGCTCCAGTTCCTCGTCGCGTTCGTCGCGTGGACGTGGGACGCGTTTGACTTTTTCACCGTCACAATGACCATCTCGGACCTCGCCGAGACCTTTGACAAGTCCAAGACGGACATCACGTGGGGCATTACGCTCGTGCTCATGCTGCGGTCCGTAGGCGCCGTCACGTTTGGCATTGCGTCGGACCGATGGGGGCGCAAGTGGCCCTTTGTGGTCAACAACCTCTTATTTATTGTCCTCGAGCTCGCCACGGGCTTCAGCCAGACGTACTCGCAGTTCCTCATCATTCGAGCGCTCTTTGGCATCGCCATGGGCGGTTTGTATGGCAACGTGGCGGCCACAGCGCTCGAAGACTGTCCAGTCGCCGCGCGAGGGATCATCTCGGGCATGATGCAACAGGGGTATGCCTTTGGGTACCTCCTCGCGGTCGTCTTTGCCCGTGCTCTCGTGAACACAACGAGTCATGGCTGGCGTCCGCTCTTCTGGTTTGGCGCGTGTCCACCGGTCTTTATCATTCTCTTTCGGCTGTGCTTACCAGAGACCAAAGTCTTTCAAGAGCGGCAACGGGTGCGCGAAGCCAGTCGCAACATGACGACAGCGTTCGTAGCCGAAGGCAAAGTCGCGCTCAAGCGCCACTGGCTGCTCATTTGTTACATGATCCTCCTCATGGCGGGGTTCAACTTTATGGTACGGGTTGGACAAATTCTTCGTTGCAGGTGTTCTAGCCCGACTAACGCTGTGCTGCTCGATTGCAATGGCCTCCTTGTGTGCACTGCCTTTGTAGTCGCACGGATCGCAGGACCTGTACCCGACCATGTTGAAGAACCAGTTTGAGTTCACGCCGAATCAAGTTACAGTCACGCAAGTGGTCGCAAACCTCGGCGCGATTTGTGGCGGGACGATCGTCGGCTACTACTCGCAGATGTTCGGTCGCCGTCTGTCGATCCTCGTTGTGACAGTCGTTGGCGCGGCGCTCTTGTATCCGTACTGCTACATCAGCGACGAGACCGTTATGATTGCTGCCTTCTTTATGCAGTTCTGCGTCCAGGGGGCTTGGGGTGTCATCCCGATTCACCTCATGGAGCTCTCCCCGCCGTCCTATAGCACGTTTATCGTCGGCACGGTCTACCAACTCGGTAACTTGGTCTCGTCGGCCTCGTCGACGATTGAAGCGTCCATTGGCGAGAACTTCCCGCTGCCGGACGGAGAAGATGGCGTGCGTCGGTACGAATATGGCAAAGTCATCTGCATGTTTCTAGGAATCGTCTACGCCTGTGTCTTTTTGCTCACACTCATTGGACCGGAAGCCCGTGGCAAGGAGTTTGACGTGAAGAACGACCGCGATCTGGAAGAAGCTGCTCATATCAACCAGGAGGACCTGGACAAGATCTTGCACGGCGATACGCTCTCGCCCACTGGAGCAAAGTCGTTGAAAGCCTAACGTCATATCGGATAATAACTCGGGTATATACCACGAACTGCAGCTCTCTACTTGTTGCTGTTGTTCATTACCGATTTCTACGACACTCACTGAGCAGATCAAGTTGGGTAGACTGGTGAGTGTTCCTTTTGTCTCCTACCTGACGGTCGTGTACTAGTCGGCACAACTCCACATCGCTCGCTATGTTTCCAGCAACCGACTTGCGACAAACAGAATCTCCACACACTTCTCCTCCAGCGACGCCATCGACGACAATTTGCAGCAGTGTTTGACCTGACTTTAACCGCCAACGAATCTCTGGAATAGCAGCAATAGCCTCACTTGAAGCCACGACCCCTTTGTGTCTCAGGGCACAGCACCGCATGCATAGCACGTTGCCAATGACGTCGTTCCAATACCTTTTCCTTCGTACCGTCCCTGACCTCTGGTCGGTTCCTCGATATTCAGCAACTCCACATCTTTTAGTGTGTGCTCAGACGTAGCGTACAATGGAGACACGAGAACGTCTGTACATATTAGCAACGACTTGCAGTTCCTTCTTGTGCACCTGATGGTGTTAACCGCAAACACAGCGAATGCAGCAATCGATTGGAACGCTTTTGTCGGTCGTTTTTCTTGCATGTAATGCAGCACACAGCATCAATATAGACGCTGTCTTGCACCGTCGAGAGAGATCAATTCGACAGTGTCGACGCCTTTTCGATTCGTACGGCCTTTAGTTTGCTACACACGACGAACATTGTTGAAGCCACATTGCTACTGTGTGATATTAGCACAGCACAGCACACGAAAAGAAAAGCACAGCTAATCGACCGAGTGCGTCGATGCATCGCACACCGTATGACCAGGTGGGGATATAACCCGTCAACCGAGTCGGAGGTTCGATGCAGACTGACTCGACATGGTCGGACTTGGGCTTTTCCTCAGTCTCGAAAAAAAACGACCAGAAACGCTATAGGCGATGATAGATACAACATCAATAACACGCACGAGAAGAAAATAAATGGATTGGCGAGGGGGAACTTTACGTGGGCGCAATGGCGTTCGGAGTTAAATATGCGCTCACAACGAACAAAGTCCTTCCTGCACTCTCGTCAAGAGCTCGCAACATAACGCACTTGACGCTGACTTCCAAAGGGTTCTGGATATCAACCAGAGAAGGACTTGAATAAACTGCATGATACGTGCGTGCTGCCTTCATGACCAGCGCATCTCGCGCGTACGCGGGCTTCAGTCATCAACGGCATCATCCACAGTAGCTTCTCAAGATGAGTAAAAATGGGACCGACGCGCTTACGACGATGATAGCTTCGTCAGACGGTAGAAGACGTACTTGTCCTGGAACGTCGAGACCGTCGTAGCAATCGGTTCAATCAAGCCTTCGTCCACCAGCGCCTGTCCAATGAGCACTGCGTCAATAAATGTAGTCGTCACGTGCATCTCGCGGATGACATTCACGGCCTCTGCGCCCAGGAAGCAGCCAGCAAAGCCCTTGTAAAACAGCAGTTTGTTTTTGCGCTCAAACACTTTGTGCAGCACGTTCGCGAGCACGTGCAACGCCTCTTCGGTCACGAGCGCGTGCACTTCGTCGGTCGCAGTAGCAAAGTCGTAGTCCACCAGATCCGCCGATTCGTTCGAGAGCTCCGACTCGCGGTAGTTGCTCGCATTGATCGACGTCCGGCGCCGCGTGGCCGTGTCGGACGTGAGAGGCTCCGACGTGTCGTCGTAATCCAACACCTTTGTAAACCGGTAGAAGTTGTCCTTCGAGTTGTGCAGCTGGTCGTCCGTGCGCGACACGTGCTCGATGAACCCCAGTCGCACCAGGACATTGCCATACCGCGTTGCAGTCTGGTGGTCTTCGGCAAAGCCAGCGACCAGCATCTCCCGCACAGCGTCACCGCCCGTAAACGTCTCCTTGTAAAAGTTGAACCGCGAGTGGCGCGTCTTGATCTCAAGGGCCGAGTGGAGGAACCGACACAAGGCCTGGAAAAACTCCTTTGGCAGTCCCTCGTGGAACGAAATGCTAATGCCCTTGAGTCGATCCAGTCGCGCTTCCTTCAGCGGGGCCAAGTCCCCGACCGTCGAGATCGAACTGACCGTCGAAGTGGTCGTTATGTCTTCGTCCGACAGCCGATGATGACCCGTCCGAGCAGCTCCTCGTTCTCTCGCGAGCTCCCGCTGTCGATCACGTTCCCTTCGGTTCGTCTCGACCTCTCGATGTCGATCCACGTCATGCTCCCCATCGTCCATCTCCTCCTCCTCTTCCTCCTCGTCATCTGCTCCAGCCGAAGACGACGACGACGACGAAGACAGCGACGACGACGACGCATTCGTCGATCGATCGGCTGCCAACGTGTCTTCCGACAGCGAAGACGACGCTTCGGTGCTGTTGTAGCTCGAAGCGGGCGTCGACCGCGCCGAGTGTGCACCCAGTTCGGCGATACTGGAGCTCACGCGCGACGGCCGCGAGAGCCGCAGCGCCTTTGCCTCAAACTGCTTGAAATCCACCACGTCTTCCATACTCTCGCGGATGCTCACGATCTTGTCGAGCGCTTGCGTGGTCCGGGCCAAGAGGGCCCGAATCTCGTCCTGCGACGACCTTCGACTGCGGATCAAGTGGTGGATACTGTGGTGGTGCTGACTGTGGGGGCTATTGCTCGTGGTCGTGGACGGAGGGGGGAGAGGGGGCGGCAGACCGGCCATGTTCGTGCGCGCGACCGACTTGAGCGGGTCGAGTGTATGCCCCGTGACAATGGTATCGTGCGGCAGGTGGAGGGGGAACTGCTTGGGCGCAATGCAGTGCTCGTTGCTGTTGTTATTCAGGTGATGGAGAGGAAGCGGTGGCGGCGGCGGGCAACGAGAGAGACCGGTAGAGGTCGGATGCATATGGACAACCGGCAGCCGGTATCCCTGATGTCCTCGGGGTCGCGCTGGCTGGCTGGCTTTCTACGAGCCAGTGGAACCTGTGAGACTTGATACCAGCACCTCACCGCGACGTGCGACAGAGACGTGCAGCAGCGGGTCCTGCATTGCCCATAAACAATGTGACTGCCGATGGATAGATACATGCGGCGGTAGTTCACTAGAGGCAAGAGACGGATCGTCCGGAGCGATACGATACGTACGCAGACGTATGTATGTAGGGGAAGAAAGAGCCTCTGGACAAAAGCAGGACGTGAGAACGCCCTTCGCACTTGAGAGATGATCCATCGGGTCAGGTGAGAAGTTCCCCTAGTTCGCCTGGCGACGAGAAACGGCCGGTGTGCGTTTTGCGTCGGGTCGTGGCCGTGACGGACTTGAGTTTACGTCGTTCAATAGCGTTTAAAGTCGTCAATCGTCGGTTGCTCGTGCTTTTGGCATAGATAGTTGAGGCGAAGCACGTGGCGCAGTCGGTTTCGTCCTCTTTTCTCTCTCGGCGGGGACCGCTTGTAACTGTCTTGACAACGGCCGAGTCGGCTGGTGACGATACTTTAAAGCCAGTTGGTACACGTTTTTCAAGGGATGTGAGAGCGGTCGCCAGCGCTTTCGAGGGATGGAGTTGGCAAGAGGCGCTCGAGCGTTTTTGTCGTCGCTCGTTTCCATGCTGTAGTACTACGCAGCTCGTGCTCTCTTTACAGCATTGGACCACCTGAAGAACCTCTATCTCGAAGTACCAATGCAGGCACAATGTCGTTTTTTTTCCTGCGCGACGTACGTGTGACCAGACGCAACAGATGGAAGTCCCTCTCTTGCGCAGCCGATCGACACACACGCGCGCGCGTTGCTACGTCGCGATCGTCGAAGCCGACTCGACCATAAACCGCCTGCGTTCAACTGGATTCAGTCGAGGTACTGAAGAGCAGAATAGTATACGACAAAGCAGTATAGCGCATCTTCTTGTCGCGCCTTGCACTGCACTTTGACACGTGCGCTTCACGCTGTCGACAAGCGACCGTCACTCTTTTGTCACGGGCGACAGAAAAACCGACCCTTGTCCCGTCACTTTAAGACCAGCTGCTAATGATGTCCATTCGTTCATAAGCGCTTCTCTCGGATGTAGCCATCTCCCCTACCGAGACTAGCCTGTGTTGTTCTGCATATGCGCCGTCATGTACGGCCTCAGTGATATGGTCGTCCAGCTGACGTGTTAAGCCACGTCGAAGGAGACCGACCGACCGTACCACAAAAGGTCGATGGCAAACGGTGGACGACACACTATAGCTGGTAGACATCGTTACCCATCGCCTCGCACTTCCGCTTATCGTCTATCGTCATGGCCTAGAAACAAGTCACTTCCACGCTGCGCATCCATAACACGATGTGCAAGTTCAAGGCATTACCCGTCCGCACGTGCGGCGTCGAATGGCAGACAGCAGTTGGAACGGCGGGGGCATCTGATCGTACGTGCAGACGACGGTGGACCTACACAAAAGTTCCAGCTGGGGTCGACAAAGTACCTTCGGTCTGTTGCAACCGTCAAGGACCATCGTCTAGAGACCACTCGATGCAGTAGACAATACATTGCACCAGCTCAGGTCCCTCACGGCAGGCCACAAGCCCTTCTGCGGCAACCTTTGACTTCATACGCCAGCGTGGCATCAGCACACATGATGTCGTTCGTTCGGGATCTCCTGATACCGCGGGTGGACAATCCTGTTCGGCGTCAAACGCCAATCGAGTGCAGCGAATGGGCTGTTTGGGACTGTAAGTCGAGAAGCACTGTCCGAGAGCAGTGATTGCATGATCGGCAAAGTCGAACGACTGTCTTCAACAAGCGCCTTCGATTACCTACGAGCAGGTGCTTTTGACATGTGCCTGTCGGCTCTGCGACAGAGTTTCACGACACTGACGCTCGCGGATCAACGAGATTTGGATGAACATGGAGCTTGAACTAGGAACGCACAGCTATCAGGGACAGAGCACGATAGCGACAACGGTATCGAAGCGCAGAAGTTGACAGACAGCTTCCTGCGAGGTCGCTCGGGAACCACACCGAAGCGTCTCGCGTGAATGTGCTTTTGCTTATTATGATGGAGTTACAGCCATCTTCAGGGGTGTGGATGACACGATAGCGAGACGGAAGTGGATGATGACGCACTCTGCGGTGAACAGACATGGAACAGGTGATGCAGCGATCCTGTCGACATCCATTGCTAATGTGCTGCTACCGGAGACGTCACGTAGACGCAACAGAAGTCGAGAAGGATCGATTGTGCGATGGAAGTCCCTGTCTTATAGTGCCGGCGTGACGGTCGCCGCAAGTGAACGACGCAATCCGCGGACAAGTGGCTGCCTGACCGCTGCAAAGGATGACGCTGCTTTGCCTTGACAGCTTCCATGGACTTGCTGCCTTGACGGAGAAGTGATGGCAAGAACTATGCCGGCAGCCGCCGCCTCCCATCATGTCGATAGCGACGTTTGTGTCGGGTGAGGGCAGAAGCGACCGACAAGTTTGGGCTACACAACTAAAAGGTCTGCGGGTATTAGACCTCTTACCGGGTACCAACGTGCAGCTCCTGCAGCACACGCCGCGAAGAGTCACATGTGTACCAGCTGAGAGACCAACAGCTTTGTTGCGTGTCCGTGTGCAACAGCGAAGGAGCCGCTTGTAAAGACGGCAAAGAGACTCTCGACTCCTGCCAGGTTCAATGTCCAGCCATACAGCCCACTTGCATAGCAACAGAGCCTTGCGCCAGCTGCTGTCTCACGCCGCATGAACTGCGCGACAACTGATACAGATCGTGCTCATCGATGCGACACACGCACAAACATGCGTCCCATGCAGCACTCTGCTTACAACGAAACGATCAAAAGCACTGCGGGCGTCGATAGAGCACGTGCAGATAGTCGTAGATCGAGGCTACTCGGGCTTCAACGACAAGGCCGTCGTTGCCATGGAGCTCGTGGGGGACGTAGAGTCGTGCGTGACCATACCCGTTAGCCCCACTTGACTCGAGTCGCGCAACACACGTTACTGCGTGCGATAGGCAAAGCCCATGTAAAAGAGACTCTGGTCGCTGATCCCGTGACTCGACTCGACTCGCTGCATACCTTTTGCCTCTGTCGAGGACAATCCATTGCGCCCATTTGCTTACCAGACGGCCATCCAATCGCTCACTGCTCTCTTGTCTGCAACACTGCAACACCGCAACACCACTTTGATCCTTCGGCCGCCCTCATAACGCTCGACCCATGAGTGCGGTCACCTTTAGTCGCGTAGAGGCTCACGCCCTCGCTGCCCGCAACGCTGCCCCAAAGCAGCGCTTACCCCTTCGACGCAACCACTTTGGCCGCGTGCAGCCGTCTCAAGACGACGTGAGGCTGTACCTCATGACCGCCACGTCGCTCTTGCACAGTGCCTTGTCCAAAGCCCGAGCAGACCGTGCGAGCGGCCACGCCGCGTACCGCACGTGGAAACAGCTCAGCACGGCTTCCAGTCGCATCCAGCGGCTCACGAAGATCGATGCCAATGGCCGAGACGTGCACTACCGTCTTCAGGGCACTATCGTCGGGGCTTCGGTCCAGGACTTGATGGGCGTCTTGTCCGCCGACGCTACAACGGCCCAAGTCGTCGCGCGTCGACGCCTCCTGTCCAGCAATAGCCTCGACGCCCAGACGCTCTGTGTGCTCCGTGACCGCCGAGTCGCGTCCACTACTGCTACCTACGACCACTTGTCGCTTCGGTGGGAAGCGATCCGCTTGAGCCCCAATAGCCCCATCTACGACCGCGACAGGTGCTATCTCGAGTTCACGGGCGTGACCACTGACGTCGACGGTACGTTGGTGGGGTTCTTGATCCAGCACGCGATTGCCCATCCCAACTGCGGGTCGCTCTTGGAGTCGCACGGACTCACGCGACTCGACGTGACGGAAGTTGTGCTCCTGCGGCCGTCTTCAGTATCGTCAGTATCCTCGCTGCAGGGCATGGGGTGCACGGACATGACGTTGGACGGTCTCGTGCGCCGTCCGAGTAAGTTCCCTCCGTGGCTCGTGCACTCGTACCTCAGCACTGTTGCAACGTGTCTCGACGAGCTGCCGAATGTCGTCCAGGAGCGGTTGTTGGCCACGTTGCCCGTGCTCAGCACGTCGCAATGTGTATCCCGAGCGTCGCGCAGACACTGTCACGTGTGTCGGAGCGCATTCGGTCTCTGGTCGAAGAAGGTCAACTGTCGCAGCTGTGGCGACGTGGCGTGCAAGTCCTGCGTTGTGACCCGCACGGGCGGCGAGACGGCCACGTTCTGCACAAAGTGTCTGACTCGAGTGTCGAGAGAGACGGCAAAGGCTGCGGTGCGGTTACCTTCGGACTGTGACTCGGCTTCGTTCACGACCTCTTCGTCATGCTCAGACTGCAGGAGTAGTTGCCGGGAGTCGGAAAATGGGCCATGTACTAGTACTACTGCAACTGCAGCTGCTACGACCTCTTTGACGTCGATGCAACGGAAGGGAAGTGCAATGCCAACGCCGCGTCGTGTGCGGATCAACACGGCGCTGCTGGAAGACAGCGGAGACAGTCGTCGATTGTGCAGCACGGCAAGTACTGCGAGCGAAAGCAGCTCTTTGGACAGCTCGAGTTGGGACTGTTGCAGTCGCGAGGGGTCACTACTGGACGACGACGTTGACGAGACATTGGATACAAAGCAGATGCTGCGTAGTGGCGGTGGCAATGCACCCGCGTGTGGCAGTAGTGGTCAGAGCAGTCGACAAGTGCCAACGGGTAGAGCGGTCGACGACTTGATCGCTCACCAGCGCTATTTGCTGCAAGAAATGCTGTCCCAGGCAAGAGCGTACCACCACCAGTGGGCCCGCGCGTGAGTGTGGACGAACGTCGCACCTGCTTTGCAATGGCAGTGGAAGGAGTCGATCGGTGGTGACGTGCGATTGCAGCAATCGGTTCGGTTGAGACGAGCGTGGAAGCGTTATGAAGGGCCTATTCGTCCTCTTGCTGCGTTATGGACATTGAACGAATGGATACATTGCTGCAGGATCGCGGCCGTCACGTGGGAATTGTGGTGGTGGAGCTTTTCGTAGCTTGCTGATTTATAGGTGAACCTGAGAAACCGACGCGTGAGGTGGGCGCAGGGTACAGCTTGACCTGCATTTTCGATACATAGTCGCTGTGAGTCGCAGCACATGCTGGCGGTGGGCCACGCGTCTGTAGCCACTTGTACTTGGCGTCGTGTAGCTATCGAATCAACTGGCACTGTTCGCACTTGCACTGAGGACAAGTGCCGACGCCATCTCCAACGACAGGTAGAAACAGACAGGTAATCTATACAATGACAACGACCAACTAATGACGCTACGTCCATTTGCCCACGCGTGGCTTCAGTCGACAGAAGTCGCACCAGCGCATGTGCGCTGCACAGAAAGAGGTCCCCGACCTCTTCCAGCCTCTCCTCGTTGGGTCCAACTCCCTCGGACGCCACCGCAGTCAATCCAATGACGAGGACAAGCGCGAGCACCGGATCACCTCAACTCCGATCTCGATCCGATCCTAACGGCCCGTGCCGTCGACTGTCAAACAGGCTCGTCGAACACCTTAACCAGTGCGTGTTCGTTCCCCTCACGTCTGCTGCATGAACCCTGGCTCGCCCTTTTCCAGCCGATGCTGGCGGCCCCGGTAGCTGTTGCCGTACTTGCCTTCGCTATGCGCCATGCACATGCCATTGCGCTGGGCCCACTTGGAGCACCCACTCGGGTGGCCGCACCGTCGGCCGCCGCCGTGGGACCGGCAGAACCCGTCGCCCTGCGAGCTCTTGGCGCAGCCGTCGACCCGACACCGCACGCCCCCACCGTGCGCTTTGCACATGCCACGCGACTGCGCGGCCTTCAGACAGCCCTCGACCGTGCAGCGCTTGCCGCCTCCGTGCGTGATGCACAGACTGCCGCTCTGACTCGCGCGCGAGCAGCCGTCGACGCTGCACCGGCGGCCGCCGCCGTGCGCTTTGCACAGCCCGCGGGACCGCGAGAGGTTCTGACAGCCGGCGGCCGTGCAGATCTTGCGGCGCTTGTGCTTCGCGCCGAAGGCGTACGCACAGGCGGCGGCGGCCGACAGCGGCGACGTCCCACTGCCGTTTAGCGCAGACACACTGCTGAGGGCCGTGGCCGCCGCCAACATCTGCGCTTGGCCGTCGCCCGCGTCGTCTGCAAAGCCGCCGGCGCTGCTCTCCTCGCGCGTCCGCGGCGGTCGGGCCGACACGGACGTGTACTTGACTTCGAGCGGACCGCTGGCGGTCGGCACTCGGCCTTTGGCCGCGCCAAACACGTCCTGCGAGTTGAGGTCGCGACAGAGCGACGCAATGTCTTCGAGCAGCGGCCGCGGCCCGCGCGTCGTCACGTAGGCCGACGTCTTGGGGTGCTGCCGCTGATCGTGGACGTCGGGCGGCGGCGTCGGCAGCAGCGCGTCCTGCAACCGCCGCAGGTCCATACTGTTGGTGTCCATAGGCGTCGGCGTGTCCTTGTTAAAGTCGAACGGCGACGGCAGCAGCGTCACGTCCGGCGTCGGAGTACTCAGTTGGCTCATCCACTCCTCCATCACGGACGAAAACGGCGCGGCCGACACCGACGACGACGACGACGACAGTGACGTCGTTGTTGTCGTTGTTGGGCCTTTGGCTGCTGCTGCTGCGGTTGTCGTGGTCGCGCGTGGCGGCCGGACGCCCCGCACGGCGCTCTCAGGCACGGGACTCGGCCGGCCGGACGCCGATACGCCCAGTGGCAGCGGCGTGAGCATTCCCGGCGACGGCAGCGACGCCAACACGGCCGCCGGCGCCGACCGGAACGCACGCGACCCGACGGCGGCCACCGGCACGAGGTCGGGGCTCGGGAACGCCGCTTCGCGCGCGACGAGGCCGTAGTCGAGCGGCGACGGCGAGTGGCTGCCGGCCGTCGACAGCGGCGCCGACGCGACCGCAGTGGCGGTCGTCAGGCGCTCGTACTGCACGACGGGCGGCGACGACAGCGGCGCGCGCGTGAGGCGCTCGTACTTGACAACGGGGTAGAACTGACTGGTGTGACTACTGTGGCCACTGTGGCCACTGTGGCTACTGCTGCTACGGTTTGTGCTCGTGCCGGTCGGGTGGTGACGGCTACTGCTGGTAGAGGCCGTCGTGGGGGGCGCGAGGGCGGGGGCGGCCGCATGGGCCGATGACGATGCGCTCGTGTAGCGCCTCGCGTGGCCGTAGCCCGGTGTGTGGTAGGCGACGCCCGAAGACGCAGAGCTAGTGGCGTTTGCGTACGCGCGGGCCGAAGCGCCCGTGAGGCGCTCGTGCGGCTCGAGCATCGACTCGTCCTTGCGCGGTCGGCGGCTGAGGAGCGACAGCATCTCGAACGGACGCCCGAGTTTCTCGCCGAACGGCATGTTGCGGCTGCTGTTGCTACGTGGGGAAGTAAAGAGGTGAGCGGTGGGGAGCGGTGGAGAAGAGAGGAGAGCTCGTGGTCGTTCTCGCGTGGGGATTGGACGCGCGTGGGAACGAACGTTGTTGAACAGCGCGCGTGGTCAACCGCAGCACGCGCTCTTTCGCCCGCCGGTGCTGAATTGATACTGAGGGCGTACAGCGCGAGTCGAGACGAGATGGGGAGCTCATCAAGCACTCGAGACCAGCCGCCGCGGCAGCAGCGGTGGGCGCGGCTGGCGATTTACACTGCTCTAGATTCTTAATTTGAAAGCGACGGGGGGGGGGGGGGAGGGGCGAACACACGCGCTTAGCGGGCGTGAGAAGGTTCGGCGACCAAACGTGTCGTCGAATAGACAGTGAGTCGTCACTCACTCGACCTGTGAGTGAGGAGGCATGTGACACGGCCGATCGACGGAAGTCTCACCCGTCGTGTTCGACGTGAGACACAACGAATCGACGTCAACGTATCGTGAACAGGGCAGCGGACAGCTCGAGGACACGTGGGACTGGACAGGGCCGTCGCGAGGTGCATATACGCGGCTTGTCGTGTGTTCGCTGCGTTGTTGCGAACACGCGCTTGCCAGCTGCGGCTCACCCCGTAGCAATGCTGTAATGCAGCGCTCTACGGGCCACATGTACGCCAGTAATTGTGCCAGCCTGGATCTGGGAAACCAGGTCTTGACGACATGAACATTTCGGTGGCTCGCTCTCGATGGTATGCACCCGCCAGTTGAACACAACTCGGGCACTATTCATGGCATCAGGTAAGGCTCGGCAACACTTGGCCGTCGTTGTTCCATGACAACAACTGCGCGCGACACAATGCTGCAACACCAGTTTCTCTATTGGATAGCAAACGTCACTGTTACGTGACTACGACTCTTGCCGGAGCAGACTACTTGCCATAAGCGTCGCCCGGTCGAGCTTGAAGAGCGACCGAGTCTCGTGCACCGTCACGCCCTGCGTTATGAAGCAGCGAGTGACACGAGTCCACCGCTTCGATCAGAGTCTGTTCAGTTTTAGCGCACGGATTTTTCGCTTCCTGATCCAGTGAGCACCCGCAGTATACACATCGAGAGGCAGTTGATTACCGTCGGATCGTGTGGGCCGATCAGAAAAGAGCCTGGAAAACGTCATCATGTGATGTGTCACGCTGCATCGTCCAGGAGGTTAATCGAATGCGTCTCACCAATGCGGACAGCTTATCGTGATATGGTCCACACTCGAGTTCATGATCGGCACTAGACAAAGCGGTCATCGTCGCACGGCGGCACGCCATCGCGGTACGTCGTCCTGCGATCGAGTATCGAATCGTCCGCTTGACAGGAGAGTCCCTACAGACGTCACCGCGATATCTGCACCCGATGGGGTCTCTTGTTGGCACAAGGAGCCCAAACTTTTGAAGCGGTTTCGCGGATTTGCAGCAGACCATATCGCTTTGTAAACTCTGCGATATTTGCCCTCGACGAACCCCAAAGAGCCGGGCGCGCAACAAGGCGGCGGAAAAAAGTCTACGAAAGTAACTGCGCTCAGCGCGTGGGATCAGGTCGGGAACCTTAGCCGACGACGAGCAGCGACTGCAGGAAGGCCAAGCGCAGGCGACGAGACGAGTTTTCGCGTTCGCTTCTTTTGGCAATCGGTGTACGGTATACACCTTTCATTTGTCTCTGCTATTTGCCAAGAGTCCGCCGCCTGTGCAGGAGAGTGACGGAGATGGCAGAGGATCAGGTCGATGCAGCTTACCTCAGCCGGAATGGACGTTGCGCTTCCATGACCAATACGCCCTTGGCCACGGCCTCGTCCAAAAACGTACCCTTGTCGAGGCTCGATTGAGTCCGCCACTATTTGCGCGCGTGTAAAGTGAGTGGGCACGGCGCGCGAGACGCTAAGCGACGAGCAAAAGACAGGCACTTTATCAAGCGTCGATGCATTGAGATCGAGGCAGCTGTCTCTGTATAAATGTAGCACGATGTACAGCTGACGCCGTCGACCTGTTTAGCCGAATCAGCTTGCAACAACAGGACTGCCAACGGTCCAGTCCTGCACTTTGCTAGGACGACTCCTTCGCTGTGCGAATGGCCAATACTCGTTGGCTGCAACAGATTGGTAGCCACAGCACGAGCGTTCGTTCCGTAAGCGCTCGATGCTTGAGAAGATCGTGTGCGGTGTGTTGCTGTGTTTCCAGCGGAATACCCGGCAGTTAAATTGCCGGTAGTTGCCATTCCAGATTTAGTGCTTTCATGCTCTTCATAGTGATGACAATGTCCCACGCGCTTACAATGGCGTTTTCCGGACAAGAGTTGGTCGCGATGTCTACGCCCTCACTGGAATGGCAACAGCTTGAACACCCTCGGGCTCACGCATCGTAATGCTGTGTGGTGCAGTCACCAGCACCAGTAAAGTTCACGTGTCGTGACGTAATGTACGTAATGAGGAGAAGTGAGACGCAGCTGCGCAGAATAGTGGCAGTACCCGCATCACGTTGTGTGTGTAACAAATGGAGTCCATTGACTGCGGCCATTCCTGGCCACTTCGTGATTTGATTACGCCCATCCAGATGACAGATTGTTTTCATTGTGGTGGACGTTCTCCATCGCCGTGCGGCAATGCACCACGGCACGCAGCGTTACATGTAAGAATGACACGCACGACGAGAGTTTCGCTACCGCTGGCTCACGCCTAATCCTCTGGACCCCCTTGCTCCTACTTTTCTGCACAACTGATGCTTTCGTGAAGAACAGCTGTGTCGCGGCTTCGCGTCGGACACACGAACGAGGGACTCGCTCCTCGGAAGAGCAGACGAACGACCGCGGGACTCGCTCCTCGGAAGAGCAAACGTCCGCTCATTTTACGAAAATGCAGCTGGATCCAGCCACTGTCACCGACTTCGCATCTGATTCTTTTCTTACAACAATCAGACTCTGGACGCACCTGACAGCTGGCTGGGTGCCCAACTCACACGTCAGACGACCACGTTGTCCCTCCGTCTTGAGCGATATGTGTGGGTACTCTTCCAACTGCTGACTCTGCAGATGGCTGTAGTCAATCAGATGGCTGCACCATGGGCTCTGTTGACTGCCTATTTCCTACTCGCAATGTACAGCAGAGGTCTGCTCCACGTTCCTTCGACGTGGTGCTACATTGTTCTGCTACTACGCTTACCCCATCTTCAGCTTGTAGTACAAGACACAAGGTCCACCTTGAATCGTAAAGGTCTCGTGCGTGGCCAAGTCACGGCAACTTTGTAGAGAAAGAGCTATAGTTCGCCTCCTTAAGCTCGATCTCTTTGACAGCTGAACGCAGTTATTTTAGTCGCTGTACGAGACGATTGGCTTGCCGACTCACGTCTCGTGTCAGCTTGCACACAAGCCAACGAATGCATGCATAGAAGCAACGCCAACAAACGAGTGCGCTTGTGGTAGCCCATCGTGTCCAGTTTACCCAGCGCGTCAACATTATTGCATGGACCTTCTACATGTCCTGACACTCTTCAAGTTTATCGGTTTCGAAGAGGACAGACTTTAAGCGACACCTGGCCTTCCAGGGTTCTCAACGCACGACGGATGCCACGCCTCATCCGCGTCTTCCCCGGATGGAGGAGGGGAGGATGGGCCGTTGGCTGCCGCCGAGCCCCTACTCACGGAGACGGGGACGGAGACCGCGGAATGAGTCCGCCCCGCCTTTGTAACGGGATGAGCCCGTTACATATAAATTGATATTTTTGTATCAATTTTTGAGCATTATCGATTTTGATAATGTTCAATTGACAGTACTCGTAAGGAGTACGGTTGAAGAAATTTCACCCCCGAGAGTAATATTTCTTTGACGGGTTGCTCCACCTGATGATTGATGTTCACGGTACATCAACCCGATCAACCACCAATCGCTTCTAGACGCGCGCAGTGGGTGGTGAGCAAGAACCCCACATAGGAGGTTGTAGTTTGATATAGTTAGGTCAAGACAAAGATGGTTTATTAGGAAGTCTAAACTATATTAAATACAGTTCTACTTTTCCCTTAGACAAAGCTTTCGAGTTCTGCCTGCTTCGCTGCGCTTCCTCGCCACGTGTACGTGACGTCGGGTGCACACAGCCTTGTGTCGGATTGACACAAGGCGTGCCCCGTTACGCCTGGTAGCACTTTGAAGTACGTCCGGCGACCACAACCACCTTACCGACATGAACATGTTGAATAATAAGGAGAGCTTTCACGCCACGCGTGAAGGCTTTGAAAATTTGAGTGACATCCAATGGAGGGCGGTGGAACGAATGAGCTCTACCGTCGGCAAAAATGGCCATTAGCGCCATGTTGGAGTCCCTTGACAGGGACCAACAACATGCCGCTACAGTCAGGTTCATTCAAAATGAACTTGTCGCCGAAAGGGAGAAAGTAGCCTTGCTGCACCAGCAAGGCTCTCAACAGGCCGAGCAGTTGAGAAAACTCGGTGCTCAACAGACAGAGCTGTTGATACAGAAGCAATTTAATGCTGCTGTGGGCGGGACGACACCCACGCATCGTTCCGAAATCTTGAAGATTGATATATCTAAGCACAGAGGAGTCGAGGAAGACTGTAACGGGGCAGCCCGTTACATGGAATTGTCACTTTAAAGAAAGAATGACAATAAAGAATATTAAGTTGAATAGTCTTTGAACAATATCAAAATAGTGGTGATATTGGCGAAGCGACCAAAGGGTCTGCTCATTGGTTGATATCTTGACGATATCAACCCACCAATCGCCGCAGGACGCGCGCAATGAGTGGTGACGAGACGTCACCATACACTCAGTTATATTAACATAATTAAGTCAGGTTGAACAGAGAGACAGTAACAAAAGACTTAATTATATTAATACAACAGTTTTACTTTTCCCTTATCTACGCTTCCTCGTTTGCCTCGTGTACGCTTGTCGGGGTACGATACCCTTGCGTTAAGTTCACGCAAGGGTGTGCCCCGTTACAAAGA